TTCGTAGAGAGACCAGAATTGGACATCACCACTCTTAGATAGGGCATCGCTCCATAGTGTCAGGGCCGATTTCTCATGGGTATACTGTGGCACACTCAGGTTTGGTTAACATGGAGACAAGGAAGAGCTTCTTAGAGACAGGAGGTAGAATTTTGCTTCTTTTGACTCAGGAGAGGCACCAGAGCACCTAACTTATGGTGCTGTGAGAGAAATCTGGGCCAGCGGAAGATTTAAGATGGTTTGGAAGCAGTAGATTTTGTTGTTGTTATTATTTCATTATTCTCTTGTAAATAGCAAAGAGGGAGAATACTCTGTAGATTTATCTCATGTTTTATAGAAGGCATATATTCTGTTATATAAAGTTAATGGCATGCAAGTATGGTAGGCTTAACTAAAATAAGGCACATAATTGGTGGATGGGGAATGATCTTTGAATTTCTGCTAAAATTGTCTCTGTCACTCTGTGGTTTTCTTAGGTCACTGGACCTATTTGGGCTGGGGAGAGCAGCAAAGTACGTAAGAATTAAAATTCTGTGTCTTTTTTTGGATCTTTTTAATGTGGTTCCTCTGAACCATGAACCTGGATATTCATGCATACAAGCATATCTAATTCCATTCTCTTCTTCTCTCCCACTTAATGCTCAGGAGACAGTTACATATAGCAGAATGTTAAATCCTTTCAGGGTAGTTTCTTGAGGTAAACAAGATTTGTGTGTGTGTGTGTGTGTGTGTGTGTGTGAGAGAGAGAGAGAGAGAGAGAGAGAGACAGAGGGAGAGACAGAGAGAGAAACAAATTTAGCTCCTAATCCTGACAAGATGGCTTGACCTGTAACTCCCCAGAGGCAAGCAGTATCATCAGCCGCTAGTGTAGGAAAACCCTTTCCACTGTTTCTGGCCAGAAGAGGGCTTATTCTGGGATGAACTAAAGGCAGGGCCATTGTGTGCATTTTGACTTGGGTGAATAATATTAATCTGGGGGAGGTTTTCACAACAGACTACTGTCACAGGTGTATTAGTCTTGGAAAGTGAGAATGTCATTTCAGCCAGAAACCTAATTTGTAGAGGAAACAAGAGGCTGGAAACGTGGCTTGCCTTTCTTTGAAGCAGCCCCTCTAGATTGGACACCACCTTTGTTGTAGCCTTAGTGGGGAGTCAGTTCTTCTGTCAAAATACACAACTCTCGGCTAACAGTACTGGCTGTATTGCCCGTCTGATAGGTGGCTGCAGCAGGTGCTAAGAAGGGCCACATTTTCTGCCGTCATTGGCATTTCTCACCAAGTGTGTAGTGCCTGTGGTTTGGATCCTCAGTATTTTTACTGTTCAGGCACTGTTCTAAAGTAACCTGAGGAGCTCAGATAAGTTAGGCTTTTCAAGTAGGAGGGAGAAACCTGCCATGGAAAAACAGCAGCAAGTAACAACACCTCTTTCATCGCTCCTCTGGCTGATCAGGCTCTGTCTGCACTCACAGCTTACAGAGTGGCACTGCGCCAGAAGCACTGCCAACCAGCCAGCCTCGCCGTCCATGCGCTCTGAGCGCTTCCTTTTGTGTGCGGAGGCCCATCTTTGCCCTGGGTGAGATTGCTGTCCTCAGCCTGCTTTTCCAGGCTGGCTTTCTATTATTCCCTCCCACACTCTTTTATGCAGATGCTAAGTGAACTAACAAAATGTATCTCAAGAAAATACAGCCTTTCCCACCTTTTTGCCTTCAGTCATGTCGTTTTACCCAGGTGATAGAGGATACTCATTCCGTGTCCTTCCAGTGTTCAACTATTAAACACACAGCTCTTCCAAATGTCTCCTCCATGACGCTTTCTTTACTCACCCTGTGAGGAAGTGAGCCTCCTTCTAACTCATGGGACACTTGGGTTTATGCTCTCGTGCAGTAACTTCCTCATATCACAATTCAATATTTGTATTTATATTTTATTCTCCTCTTAGATTGCCTTACACTTTGAACCTTCTGTGCTTAGCCTTGTGTGTGTAGACACTCAATATGTGAAGGAGAAAATGTCCCAGAGAGTTCCAAATACAGTACCAGGGGCTTTGCAGCTGTTGCCCTTACTCTAGCCCGCAAGCCCCTCCGTAAGCTTATTAGCAGCCGGACCTGCCCTGATGAGCTTCCTCTCTCTGCAGAGCTCGTTGTTCTGCCGTCCGATGACGTGGTGCTGTGGGGTAGAGGGTAGGCCCAGTAAGAGATAGCTTTTTTATTAAAACTGAAATGTTACAAGTTTTCCCTAGTTTCTCGTTTTAGTTTCTAATTAGAGTCGTTTGTACCAGGAATGTTACTTTCTAAGGAAGTTGAGGGTGACGCGGAGAGAAAACTGGTCTGTCTTTCCCTGCCGTCCTTTGTGTGCGCGTCTCTGGCCTTCGTCTCACCTCACTTTGTACTTCTGTTCTTCTGCTCTCCCTGCATTCATATTTTCTCCTCTCCCAACCACCTGTTTCCAGGAACGCTTTGTTTCTTGGTGTTCGCCTTTCATTTCTTTAGTGTAGAAATGTTACTAGGCTTTAAGAAAGCTATGATATATTCTTCCCCTTAGCCTGACAAACTAAAAAAAAGCAAAACATTATTTAGTAGTAATAGGTCCAACACAGTGAGAAAGTAAAGGACCGTCCAAGTAGTTTCTCACAGTGGGCCCTGGTCTTCTGGCTGGCCAAGCTCTCTGGCCACGAAGGCAAGGTGATTGTCTCTCACTGTTGTCTCTGGAGACTCGATCGCGGTTCCTTGGCTTATGTGCTAGTACTTTTCCTGCTGGCATTGAGGAAGTCTTGGTGGTCACCCTTGTGGGCTCTGCCCCCTCATCTGTATGCATGAATAGTCCAGCACCAACTTCTTCAGACTTAGTCTTTCTGTGGATTCAGAAGGACTAAGTTGAAGGTCATACTGGTTTTGTCTCTTGATTCTTTCAAGTCTTTAGAAGAACAGCGAATGCATCAAGGGATAAAGCCAGTGTCTCCAGAGTCTCTTTCTTAATGTGTCATCAGAATGCTTTCCATCCTTTTTTGCTTTTTTTCCCAACCTTTACTACTCTCATCCTGGCCAGAATACTATCTAGTTTTAACTAGCAAGTATTACTTATAATCGTGTCTCACCATTTGAAAGTTAGCCTCTTTCTCTTGCTGACTTTTTTCTACTCCTGGAGTTTTAGTCCTCCCTCCCCTCCTCCTCTCCCATCTCTCTACCCCCTCTCCTTTTCTCCCTCTTCCCTTCCTCTGTCTCTGTCTCTCGATGTCTGTCTCTTTTACATTGAAATAAACTCAAATAGAAAAATCTCCTTGTCTGTACCACTAGCCTCACCTAGACGTAAACTCAAATGAGAAAGCTCATAAAACTCTGCTCCCCATCTGTACCCACAGGTGTTATCTGGAGTCTCATACTCACACTTTCTTCCTTGGTTGTAAAATCCACGTGTTTGTGCTCCCTGCCTCTTTTAGAACAATCACCTACTAGGTTGTACGCATAGAAAACAAATGGTCATCTCCCTGTCACTGTCCAATTGTCCTCAACTTTCATCATTTGTTTTTTCTTTTCCTAGTTCATTAACTC